CTCCTTTCTGTTTCTTCCTCTAGTGGATCAAATCTAGAGCCTAAGGCCTTATTTGGAGGATTAAGGCCAGTGTTTTTTGAACTCAGATCCTTCCCCACAACCATCTCCTTAGACTTCAGGTTTATATTTGGCCTCTTGTTATTTCTTATCTGGACTGTCATCCAGTTGCCGAATCCATTCTCTTCTTGACTCTTCTCTATCTTTTCTTCAGTAATCACAGTCTTGTGCTCATGATTAGGCTGCTGGCATTGTGCCTCCTCTCCTTTCGTATCCTCAGCTTTCTTCATATTTCCAGGATTAATCATACACTGGTCCCTCTTATGGCCATATTGGCCACACAGGAATCAGATTAAATGCAATCCTTCGTAGCCTATATATAATTGTATCTGCCCTATTTTGAATTTTGAGAGTAAACTTTTACTCAGATCTATTTCAACACATATACAGGCAAACCTACCTCTATCAGTAATTTCCTCCAGTTGACCTTGTCCACTGATTCTTAGAGAATTCTCGTCAATTCCCAGTGTACGACCCACCATGTTGCCCATCCTCCATAGATATTTATGTGTGTAGAACTCCCTAGGACTCATGTGATTCTGATCCATACCGCCAATTTCTTCACTCTCTCATCATATGGGTCAAAATTCAGCCTCCATCTTTGAACTATGAGGTAGTGATCCGCCACGATCCATGGCCCCTGCTGCTGAACAAACAAGTAGTCCAGATCAAGCACCCTGTATTCTCCCTCAAGATTCCAGAGTTTATGTAACCTGTTCCACATGAATCTTGCTCCAATTCTCTTCCCCATGAGCTTAACAATTAGAGCCTTTCTCCACCTTTTACATTGTTCCAGTTTCTCTAGTACATCAAACTGGTAGTACGGGTTTAAAGGGTCGTCCTCCCCCGTCTGTTCGTAAGCTCTCATAGCTTCCTCTTCTTCAGCCTCCTCTCGTTTGCATTGCGCAACCCAATCATCATCATCATCCTCTGGATTTCCATCCCAAATTCCATTCACTCTCAGAAGTTGATCCTTATATGATATCGCTTCCGAGGGTCTCTCCTTACTCTTCCTTCAGAGCCAAGAGCAACGTCTGACACATCTCCTTCTATCTTCTGTTTCTCACCATCATCTTCAACCTCCATTGCGCCCGCAATAAGAGACTCTTCATGCATGTCCAGATCCATGCCCGCTTCACCGCTTCACCCTTCTATCTCCACAGAATTGAGGAATCTACCTCCTTTTGCTACCATGAAATTCAAAAAACCCTAGCAGAGCTTCCAAAATGATTTACACGCGCTCCACGCGTCCCGTAACTTTTCTGTAAAGATGAACTTTTTGGTTCAAGGTTATATGCTTAAAGTTATGGGAAACTATTAAAAAATAGGCGTTAATTTCAATTTTTTTTTTTTCTCCCTTGTTTATGGATATCAGAAACACGCCTTCACTTTATGATTATATTGAGCTGTGGAAAGAATAAGAGAGCTCAGTTAAATAATTGTCACATAAAAACTGCTCTAACTTTTGGACTTTTGATTTGCAACATAGGAGTAAGAACACACAAAAATTTTCCTGAGAGCTTGACGAAAACTATTTGCTATGTTTTTATTGCTGACAACCTTCATTTATCATTGGCACATCAATGGACCTAAGCAACAACTCACAATAAATAGATTGGATAATATTTTAATTCAAAATCTTAAGCCATTAAATTTATTGTCATTTCACTTATATATTTTATGCTTAGCCAATTTCTTTATCACGATCAATTTTATTATTTACACTTGAATTTCTAATAATTTTATGGGAGGACGAGCAATTCCATAACATTCACCAATGAGGGACCACCATTGTCCAGATTTCATTAGACAATCAATCTTACACCTAACCCGATATCTTAGATTGAACAGAGCTAAAAGCATAGCAATATTCACGTCTATTATTTAGTAAATCTCGTTAAACTAAATTTGTTTGGTGTTACATAATCTTTGCACAAAAAATTATTAAACTTTTCTTCACTGTGCGCATAAACAATTATTTGAAAACATGTACGAAATGCACCGTAAGTAAGTGTACTTAAACAGTTTTTTATGTTTCACTTCTGTTTTTGATCCCAAGAGACTGGGGTGTCAAAAAATGGTAAATTAGCTTGAGTTGAATTGATTTTTTATATGATATTTTTTATATATGTCGATATAAATATATGTGGAAGGATTCGTTTCCAATTTTTTTTTACAAACTACACTAAGTATGATTGGTCATACAGTCTTGATTGAAGTATGACCGGTCATACTTAGTGTAGTTTGTAAGAATTTGTAAACAAAAAGTTTATAAATATAACTTTCCTATATATATATATATATATATATATATATATATATATATATATATATATAGGGGCAAGATCATCTTACACCGGTGTAAGAATGATAAGTCTTACACCAAATCATCACCATTGATTTTGTGCATCTAACGGTTAAGATTTATTATATCTCACTCATTAATTAATTTCTAAATCTCAATAAATTTCAACCGTTGAATGCACGGAAATCAATGGTTAAGATGTGGTGTAAGATTTATTATTCTTACACCGGTGTAAGTTGATCTTATCCCATATATATATATATATATATATATATATATATATATATATATATATGAGAAAAATATTTTTCTGGCCACTTGAGATAAATTTATCTTAAGCTATTCATTTTACCTATGTATTATGGGTAGTATACAATTATAATGTAAACCAATTAGGGTTACTACTAATCAATTTCACCGTTAGATCAATTATGTTGATCCAACGGTTATAATTATTTTCATCTTTCTATGGTTATAATTATCCATATTTAATACTTTATACTTATTTTCACCTTTGTATGGTTACGATTTCTCATATTTAATGCTTTCACATTAAATATGGGGAATCATAACTATACAAATATGGAAATAAATATTATCGCTGGATCAACATAATCGATCTAACGGTGAAATTGATTGGTAGTAACCCTAATTGGTTGTTACAATATCTTACCCTATATATATATATATATATATATATATATATATATATATATATATATATATGGACTTAACGTTTCTCAAGCTGTTTGAGATAATTTTATCTCTGGCTACTAAATCATAACCGTACAAAGATGAATCAAGGGTGATAAAGGAAGAGAGATAAAAAGGAAATCATAACCATTCAAAGGTGAATCAATTAATATAAGGAAATAAATATACAAAACGACGTAGTTTTAAGGTGGCCGGAGATAAACTTATCTCAAGTTGTCGGAGAAATGTTTTTTCATATATATATATATATATGAGGTAGGATAATTTGATATCAGTGTTAAATTTGAAATTTGACACCTCATCTGAGAACCATTAGATAAAAAAAGATCAACGACTCTGATTTGTAAGCATATAACACCATTGATCTTTTTTGATCTAACGGCTATGTCCAAAGATCTTATATATATATATATATATATATGGACTTAACGTTTCTCAAGCTGTTTGAGATAATTTTATCTCTGGCTACTAAATCATAACCGTACAAAGATGAATCAATGGTGATAAAGGAAGAGAGATAAAAAGGAAATCATAACCATTCAAAGGTGAATCAATTAATATAAGGAAATAAATATACAAAACGACGTAGTTTTAAGGTGGCCGGAGATAAACTTATCTCAAGTTGTCGGAGAAATGTTTTTTCATATATATATATATATATATGAGGTAGGATAATTTGATATCAGTGTTAAATTTGAAATTTGACACCTCATCTGAGAACCATTAGATAAAAAAAGATCAACGACTCTGATTTGTAAGCATATAACACCATTGATCTTTTTTGATCTAACGGCTGTGTCCAAAGATCTTATATATATATATATATATATATATATATATATATATATATATATAACTAAATTGACTTGACTCATTTAACACCTAGTATCAGATATTTGATTGGCTGCTCATATGATAGAGACTTAAAGATAAAAGATAACGTGAAGGATTTGTTTAAAAAAGTATCAAATGATAAAAATTCATTCTTACAAAAATTTATAAATAATTTTAAATATGAATGTCATCTGATTTAGTTTAAAATATTATTTGGAAGAGCGTTCGAACCTTCCATAATAAATTATGACTGCGTGTGAGTAAAAGTATAATAGGGACAACACTTCAAATAATGTTTATATTATTATCTAGTCCATTACAAGGGTTCTGTAATTCTAATTTAACATAAGAATTGAAATCTTTTTATACGTTGTTTGATTTCTGTGCTGACGTGGGTCTTATATATAATTTTCACATATTTTTTTTTATCTCTACAACATAAGATTTCAATTCTTATGTAACTTGAAAATTATAAAACCCATTAAGAGAAATATAGCCCTCATGTAATAGGAGAAATTTTTTTTCTCCTGCAATGAATTAATATTATGTACTGCCGGTAGTGTTAATTTTAAAAGCTGTTTGTTTTTCTTCTTCTCAGAATTTGTCTGACGCGACGAAGAGAGAAAATCAACTTTAATATTATAATTATATATTATCCATAATGCATAATATTAATTCGTCACGGGAGAAATCTCTTTTCCTACAACATAAAAAATTAGGAACCTTAAAATTAAATTACAAATCTCCGCATCTGCTAACCCTAGATGGGGATTAAGAAGAAGATTTAAAAAAAAAAACAAAAAAAAGCAGCCTGCAAAAGCCCAAACAAAGGAAATAAAGGTATTGTAAGTTATCTTCATTGATAACCAACCTTAATTAATTCTTTGACATGAGTTGCTCGTTTTGATATTTTTATAAATTTTGACTTTTTGAGCTCACTATAGGGCTAATATAGAGTGCGGTGTAGATTAGAGATGGAGATATTTAAACTTCTCTCAAAGAATAGAGGCTTTTTTCTTTTCACTTACTCAGCTCCCTTTTTATCAACTGAGCTACCACCACCATTTGGTTGTGTTCATTCTTTCTAGCACTAATGTTCTTTCTGCCAATGTTGGCCAGTGCAGGAACACATTGGGTTCATTCGATTCTTATGCAGATTCTTAACATTGAGTAGATTCTTCTTCATCGCCCCCAATTTCTTTATACTGTTTGTTCTTCTCTTCGGAATTGATTCAATTTTAACAACCTGAAATAAGAGAATAAGAGATCAAACTCATGATAATAGTTCTTGTTCTTGTCATTATATATTGCCTATTTTTGGAAGATAAAAATTTCCAATTTATAATATGGAACCTCTGTTTCCTACAGCTACTTACATATTTAGATAGATTTTTGTCAATGTTATTTCTGACATGTGATTTTGTGAATGATGAAACTACCGAAAAAAAAATTGTGATTTTTTCAACATTCTGATGCAAAAACACAAACATTTTACTGATTTGGTTTTTTTGACAAACTATTTATCAATCTGATGTGAGGAGTTGCGCATCATTTCCATGCACAACTTGCACAAAAATCAACGCAATACAAGATTTGCAGCCTGCGGTGCGTATTCAAGTCATGTTGCATAGCGCTTTGACTTTTGTGCAAGTCACGCATAAGGTGATGCACGACTTAGATATGTATATTTCCCATGAGAATTTCATTCGCGTTAGATGGATAAATAATTTGTTAAAAGAATTAAAATGAAAAATATTTCTTGGATTTTGTATTAGATCGGAGAGTCATAAAGCCATAAAAGTTGTGAGGGGGAAAGCTACGAAACACTAAAAGCAGCTAACCTCGTTTGAGTGTAATGATTTCCTTGATGCAGATGAAGCACTTTCGATGCTGTCAGCACTGTGTGACCTGTGGTGCATGGTATCTGCATTTGTAAATGTCAAACCCTGTTTAAGTTTGCAACAAAAAGAAGCATAATGCTAACATACTTTCAGTACTCACATATTTGTTCCTCTTTTCTCTTATTGGCCTCAATGCAATAAATTCTGAAGCTGGGTGATCCATCACCTATAAGTCTTCCAGTTTCATTATCATCTGCATCATCATCATCATCATCATTCTCATCATCATGATCATTATCGTCCAGTTCGTTACTCTGCTCTTCAGAAACTGGCAATGGAACTACTTTAGAGAGCTTTTCTACGGCAACTACTTGTACCACAGTTTCAACCTTGTCCTCGGTTTCATTTTCATGAGAGGATGATTCATCCTTCAGCAACTGCTGCTTGGAGAGGGTGTCCACATTCTTACGGTTTCTCAACTCTTCGATTCGGCGGCGGAGGAGAGGGCGGATTCTGGCAGGGAATACCTCTGCTCCTCCCCCACTAGTTCCATTCAACCTGGAATTGTTGGACCCCATTATTGGAAGGACGTACAAGCACACCAAGACAATAATGGTTAAAATGACAAGGTTCAAAGTTGAAACACGCTCAAGGATTATGAAGGGGTTTTCTTCACGTGGCAGTTGGAAATAACAAGATTATTCAAGTCTAAGTTTAGAGTTTTTGTTGGTCAATTATAGCACCAAAAAATTCATTGATATGCTAATGCTGTCTGTCTCGTTGTATTGGAACCTTCACTCTTGCAATGCGTCAAATTAGGATAACTGGATAAGGCACCAACGTAACACAAACCAACCTGGACAAATTAACACGTTATTACAACGTTAAGCCACAGCCTCAAACTGGGTTCTGCCACCTATCTGTTCATTTTCTAAAAATAGTATACATCTCGAAGTCTTTTTGTTATAATGAAAACTCTCCAGATAGAAATTCAGGACAATAAAAAAAATATAAGTTAGGAACCCACATAACCGACTCGAAAAGAAGAAGAAGGAGCCACATAATATATAAAACAACATATATTCAATGGTGGCCAATGCTTATACTTTTTTAATTTGCTATTCTTATACTATTTTAATTTGCTCCGAGACCACCGTGGTCCTTCTATTCAAAAATTAATATGTGTATTAAATTTTTTTCTCCCGAATCATAGTAACTTCACAACTCTTTAAGAAAGAAAACTCAAAGACATGATAAAATTATTTGTAATATTAAAAGTTTTGATATGATTGTGAATTTGCAATAAACTAGGATTAAAAAAAGAAAAAAATGTGTGTTATTATTTTAAAGGATGTAAAGTTGTGTCATTTTAAGAGAGAGAAATAGATAGATAAAGGAGGAGAGAGTTGACAAAAAAATAAAGGTGTGGGTCCCACCTCTTTGTGAGAGTGAAAGAATATAAGTTGTATCATTTAACAGGATAAACATTTTTCCCTTAAAAAAAATCATAATGGTATGAAGTATTTCTTGTTTTAGTGTAAAATCCATTTTTTACGGGAAAAATAAAATCTTTAATGCTAGCTGTTCAGTTTTTCTTTTTTGAATTAATTTTTGTTTAATGCTAATTATGCACATTTACATGCATTGATCAATTTACATCTCGGAACAAATTTTATCATATAATTTTGGTTGTACGCCATTGCATGCTCACATATACTTTACTTTTTTTTTTTTTTTTTTTTTTGATAACAACTTTACTTTTATCACATATAAGAGAGATATGTGAAATGTAAGGAATTTGCAACAAACATTTTTCTTCTTCCAGTCAATGGTCTAAAACGTTGAAGGATAATTATAACAAAGAAACCTGTCTTAATCAACCTTGAATAGAAGCACTAATTAAAACTTCAAATCTGTACTCGTTTTTATATCGACCCAAAACATCCATTATATATTTATAGAATGTCAACTTTTACGTCCTCTTTTAATTGAGCTTTTCCTTTAAAGTTTAGAGAAATTTTTTACTTTTTTTCCCTAATATATTCTCACAAATTTTTCATAGAACTAAACTTTCGAGCAAAGAATAATATTATTAAAGCTTTTTTTATAAGCAAAACATATCCAATAATAAAAACATTGTTTTGCCTTAATTATAAGAATTAAAGCTGGCGGACGCGGAACAAGTACGACCTCACCTATGGAATTAATTGGTCCACCTGACCCGCCATGGGATGCAATTGCAGGTTGAATCGCAAGTTTTAATCACCAACCTATCCTGCATAAGTGCGGATAAAAAAATGGGTTAAATTCGTCGTGGGATGGGTTGACTTGTCGAGTTTTACTAAATCAAATATTCAATAATGTTGGACAATTGGTTCTGAAGCTAATTATTCTTTCCTTGACTCTTGAGGAAGATATTATTAGGAATGAAATTCCGGAAATCTATCAAATACACATGTAGTTGATTTTTAATATTGCGGGATTGTTTGATTACATTCTGAGGAGTTTTTTTTTTTTTGTATATTCTTATATTTGATTTGAAGATAATTTTATCATGAATGTATAATTTTGTTTGTTTGTTTGTTTTAAGGAAATGAATGTATAGTTATATTTAAAACAGATGAAGTATATCCAAGTTAAGGGAGGGCAAAACCAAGTCAAATTTTTTTTATAAATGTAGAGCTTCATATCTCATTGTAAAAAAAAAACTATATTATCGTTTACTGATGCTTTTGTATTAAAAAAAAAGAATTTACAAAGCCAATATATACAAAAGATGTTATTTGCACAATAATTAAGAAACAAATTTTAGGATTTTAAAAAAACCGAAAATCGAAAACCGATTCAATCCAAACCGAAAAAAATTGGATTGGATCGGATCAGATTTTAAAAAAAATCCAAACCGAAAGGATTGAATCGGATAATTTTTGCTTCCAAAATCAATCCAATCCAAACTGCGAACACCCCTACCAAACTTGGTGCTCCCTTTTACTAAAAAGGGAATTCCCTCCCTTTTTTATCCATTTTTTTTATTTTCTTTTAAGTCCTAAAAAATTTCCCTTTTTAATAAAAGGAAGCATCGAGTTCTGTGCTCTCGGTGCATTAAAGTTTTTCTCCAAGTCGAGATATTTTGATTAAGTGGGCCTACCCTAGCGAAGGTAGGTCAAACTTTACACAGATGATTCTTCATTATTGCATGGAAACAAGGCACCGTGTGAAGGGTTCATAAGGGACACAACAGTGGTAGATGGATTATTATATAGCCTTAAACAAATTTCTAGGATGTGGTAACTCCTTAATGGTGGAGCTGCAGGGTTTGCTCTTGGGGCTAGATTTTGCTTGGAATAGGGGATTTAGGCATATGTTGCTGGATTAAGACTCTACTTCGTTGATTAATCTTATTAACTCTGGGTGAGATTTATATGCTGGTTAGAAGAATAAAATTATTAGGTAGATATAATATAAAACTATTGAAGGCCCTTCACTTCCAAATTTAAGCTTTTGGGTTAAAATAGTTTGATTTCTCGTGATAACACTTTGCGGGAGGCAGGTGTTTTTTTTTTTTTTTTTGGTGTTGGGGGGGGGAGGGAATTTTCAGAGAGGCCAACATTCTGCCTTCGCAAGGCCCAATGTGGAGTTGGAGTCAGATCGAACTATGATGTTTGGCCTGGTAGAGGTAAGTAGAAAGAATTGCGCCCTAACTAATAGCTATAGTTTTTGGCCTAGTGGTAAACACTCGATCTAAATTGTTTGGGGTCGGTGTCAGAATGAAACCATTGAAGGTCCTTAACTTCTAAGTGTTGGGAGTTGTTCCCTCTTCAATGCTTGACTCTAGTCCCAAGAGGTTGAAACTCTCCATTTTTGGTGCAAGGCTTAAGGGTCATATCCTTTGAGTGGTTCAATGTCTCTCCATAAATGAAGGTGCAAGGCTCAAGGGACACATCCTTTGAGTGGTTCAATGTCTAGAATCATCTCCCTCCCCTATATAAGCTTGTAGTGTGTGAGGTTTAGAGATATGAAAAAGAATTTAAATACCTCTAGAGAGAAGTTTGAGTGAGACTTCTTTAGGGAAGTTTGATATTACCACCATTGTAGGTGAAATTTGATTGTACCTCTAGTGAAAGACTAGAGAAGCTTGATTGTTGTAACTCATTATTCTTATAGTGGAAGTTTGATTCTGGACTAGTGTCCCATGAGTTTTTACTTCTTCACATTGGAGAAGGTTTTACTACGTTAAACAAGTTGACCGTGTTCTTCTCCATCTCTCTCCTCTTGCATTTTACTGTTTTGCTTCCGCAATTGACTTGAGGGTCCGACTTGACCAACAGTAGTATTAGAGCCCGAGTTCGAAGGGTTCTGAAGGAGACGAGATGGAGACTGGTGGAATTTCACATGATGGTGACATGTTCAAGCTAACCATGGACAATTTCACTTATTGGAGACCGATGATGGAAGATCATCTCTACTGCAAAGATTTACATGAGCTCATTATCCTTCATGAGAGACCAGCAGACAAAACTGATAAGGAGTGGGAGTTCCTGAGTCGTAAAGCGGTAGCTACAATCAACAAATACATAGACAAAAGTCTCTTTGAGCACGTGCTCGAGTTCACGAACGCGTGCAAATTATGGAACAAATTGGAGTCCATGATTCAAAAGAAGACTCCCAGGAACAAAGCACACCTGGTTCGCCGACTTGTGAAGTTAGGACACAAGGACGACATGAGCATGATTGAACTCCTTAACACCTACAAAGGGATTGTGAATCAGCTATCAAAAGCTGAGATGAAAATTGATGACGAGATGCAGGCTTTACTGTTGTTGAGCTCGCTGCCAGAAAGCTGGGATACTCTGGTGGTGACTTTGAGTAATTCGACTCCAGAAGGAAAATTAAAGATGGATACCATGACAGACAGCCTCCTGAATGAAGAGTCCAGGAGAAGAGAACGAGGTGTAACCAGCACATCTGAGGCAAACGTGACCGAGAATAGAGAAAGGTCTGACGCCGGGGTCGTAGCAAGAGCCAGGATCGTGACAAGTCGAGAGGCCTGTCTCGGCCAAAATATGAGATGAAGTGCTTCTATTATGGGAAGCCCGGTCATAAGAAGACAGAATGTAGGACTCTGCAGAAACATGAGAAGAACGACACTGTAAAGCCGGATCAGATTATTCCATAAAAGAAAGAACACAAAAGCACCACTACGGTTGCTGCCAACTCGGATGCCGAGATATTTCTTCTCGGCGAAGACAATTATTTGAATATTGTATATGATGAATGCACATGGATTGTTGACTCTGGGGCCTCCTTCCACGTTACTCCACACAAAGGATTTTTCTCCTCTTATCGAGGTGGTGATTTTGAAGTCGAGATGATAAATCAGGTGACCAGTAAGATTGTTGGTGTCAATGATGTGACCCTGACCACGGATATTGGGTGCCGACTTGTGTTGAAAGATGTAAGGCATGTTCCTGACATGCGATTGAACCTAATCTCGATAGGCAAGCTTGATGATGTCGAGTTAGTGAACTACTTCGGTAGTGGTAGATGGAAGTTGGCCAAAGGAAACTTGGTTGTTTCC